TAGGTTTAATAGTATATATATATATATTTGTATAGTGTGTATTATATATATAATATATATATATATAATTATATATTTATATATATATATGTTGTATATGTATATTAGTCTTGTTCATATGTTAATATGTAATTAAATGAATGTATATCTATATGTACTATTATATACTGTATTTTATGTATATATTATGTAGTATTATGTATATATTATTTATGTCAATAGATATATATATATAATATATTATATATATATATATAGTATATATATATATATTATATTTATGTGTGTGTGTGTATTTATATGTAGATGTAGATGTTTATGTTATGTAGATATTATATATGTTATTTATATATATATTTTCCTTTGTATAGTTAACTTTCTTTTTGGCAGATTACTTTCCCATTGTGGATGGAATTGCTGATATCTTGAAGTCTGTAGGCAAAGCCGTATCCGTTGATGCTGAAATTTTAGTCTTTTACAGAGTACTTCCACAGTAGCATAGGATTTTTTTTCTCTTTTTTTTTCTTTTGTTTAAGTACATATTGTTAGTTTTGCACTGTGACTTGATGCATTCAGGAATTAAGAATAAAAATTCTCAGCTTACACAATCTATTTAGCTCCAATGGCATTTATTAGCTCAATTTGCCTGAATCCATATGAAATACATATAGTGTGTGTGGTAAATCCAAAACCAGTTAGGTAAGAGGAAAGCATGAGGATGTTGTCAATTCTGTTGTATTAGGTTTGCATGATGGTGGTTAAAGGATCTTTGGTAATATCAAATGGATGAAGTTATTTAAGGATAATGCTCTCTCTCGCTCTCTCTCTCTCTTTCTCAATCCTTTATATATAATGTATTAGCTCAATAAGTACAATCCATGTTAATGTTTGATCTTTGCAGGCCACATTATCGGTGGGATGGACGACTCAGTACTCAGAGGATAATGGTCGAGATGGTCGAAGAGATGGTAGCCACACTGGAGAAAAACAACATAACTCAGCCAATCACATTTCCTATACGCGCTGCTTTTTGTAGGAGAGTCGCTAGAGAACCTAGAGTGGCTCCTTGATTCCGTGAGTACTTTTGAATATCTTTATTATTTTTTTGGCAAAATTTTTTGGAATGTTTTGCATTTTGTGCGATGTGTCTGAAGGTGTCTGAACCCCCCTGAAATTTTGAAGGCCTACCCGCTATTTTTAATGTCGTAGCAGCCACATCTGATGTCCACCGAAATATGATTTTTCACCCTACCTTAGAAAATCAGCTAATGTGATGTAACAAATAGATATGATAAAAAAATGAGAATAAGCTTTTAAAAAACTGATGGGCTGATTTCATTTCTCTGTTTTAGTTCAAATGGGAGGTAGTGAGGGCAAACTAGTGCATTTGTTACTGTCTTGTTTATTTATTCCAGCTATCAGTAAAGAACTCTCCACCCCTATCCCTATACCTTCTACCCCACTGGGTCATCTGTTTTTCTAAATGGCTTCTCTCCCAATCTGATTCTCCTGCAATCTGTCAGAGACTACTATACCCACCCATGCCATCCCCAGATTCTCTACCCTCTTCTGCTAGGACCACTCTGGCCTCCCCACAATCACTTTCTGGCATAGGTGTTTCTTGTGACAGGTTTAACAGCTGGGGAGAGATGTAATGCAAGTCAGTGAAGGTTTGACATGAAAGGAAGGAAACGCTTTGTTTACTTATCTATGTGTTTTTCTGTATGTAGGTATATATTTATTTATGTGAATATTTTATTTCTACTTTCCAGATTCCAGACAGTACCATTACTATATGGAGCTCAGAAAATGACAAAATTGAAGTTCTTGATCTCATAACCCTGCGTGATAATGTAGGTGAAGATGCTGTTTATGTTGACCTGCCAGAAGACCAAATGAAGGAATTTGAAGAAGCAAAGAATGGTGGAGAAGGCAATGGAGCTGTTGGATTTCAGCTTCTTCCAAGTAATACATCTGTGTGGGTAACAACAGGGGTTGCCATTGCAACAGCATTAGCTGCTTTGTATTTGTATGACTAACATTTTTTTTTTTTTTTTTTTTTATAAGGTAGGAAGCTACAATATAAAGCATTTAATCATCATGCAAGACTTTCCATCACACACTCTCACTCCATTTTTTCCTTTTCCCTCTTTTCTTTTGTCTATCTCTCTTCTAGTTTTCTCTCTCCTTGTCCCTCTATCCTCTCCTCTCTCTCTATTCTCTTCCTTTTCTGTCTTCCCCTTCTTTTTCTCTCTCTATTTTTTTTCCTTTCTCTCCCCTTTCTCCTCTCTTTCCTGCCTTCACTTTCTGTCTTGTACATATTATTATGTTTAAGGTAACTGAATACTTTGTATACCTAGGTAAGATATATAGATATATACATATATACACGCAATGGGTGAATTTAATGGGTGAGGAAATTATATTACTGGTTAATGGTAACTGTATTGGGTATTTTCTTCCATATTTTTGACAATGGAATAATAAAATATATCACGGATCATGTGTTTATTGACTGAATATCATGTTAGCTTTTCTTTTATCGTTATGTTTTTATTATAAAATGAAAGAATGGTAATTATAATGAATGAAGGAAGACAAAAATTATAATAACAATGATGATAATAATGATTATATATGATAATAATGATGAATAGTAACAGTAATAATAATAATAATAGAAATAATGATAATAGTAATAATAATAATAATACTGATGATAATGGCAATGAGAATAATAATTAATGTTATAATGATAAAAATGATAGTAATGATAATAAAGGAAAAATTATATTAAAGGAATAATAGTAATAATGAAAATAGCATTACAAATGTAAATTGTGGCTATCCATGTCATTATATTGTCCCCTTTTTTTTTCTTTTTTTCTTTATTACAATAATTTGCACATCTAAGTCTGTGACAGGAATACAGCAGGTCTTTTGAAAGAGTTATATGCGGCACCAAGGTCGCAGCTTGTTAAGCACTAACCCATTTAATAGCTGTATTAGGAAGAAAATGATATTGGGTAATGTTTTAATGTCTGATATTCTGGTGCTCTGACAGCAATAGTGATTTAGGTCAAGGTAAGAATTATTAGTTTGATTATAAACGTAAGAAATATGTTTGGTTATAAGGTAGGAAATATTAGATTGATTATAAAGGTAAGAAATATTAGTTTAGTTATAATGGCAAGAAATATTTGTTTGATTATAAAGGTAAGAAATGCTTGTTTGATTATAAAGGTAAGAAATAAAGGTATGATATATTAGTTTGATTATAAATGTAAGAAATTTGTTTGATTATAAAGATAAGAAATATTAGATTGATTGTAAAGGTAAAAAATATTAGTTTGATTATAGAGGTAAGAAATATTTGTTTGATTATAAAGGTTAGAAATATTAGTTTAATTGTATAGGTAAGAAATATTAGTTTGATTATAAAGGTAAGGAATATTAGTGCCATATAAGATATTTAATTCAAAATACAATATATTATACTAAATCACGGTTGCCACATACTGGGGAAGTTTAAATATTAAAGAGTATCAATTTCAAAAAATTCTCAATCTCTTGACTGGGTGCCACGATGCATTCAATGCAGGTCAAATTGACCCATCATTACTAAACTAAATCATTACAAAACTAAATATTGTGTTGCAGCATTAAAGGTGCAGGATGAAAGATAAGCTTTTCCCACTTCATTACAAGTCCAGAAAAAATAAATCTGGTAACCGTGTGTGTGACTGATACTCGCTCAAAAAAAAATCACTGAAAAAAAAATAATCACTTTTATAAACTACATTTCTTATTTGCGAGTGGATGGGTTCTAGGAGGGATTTTTCCTTTCCTTCATGCTCGAGGAATCAGACTCCCTAATAATGGAATTGCCATCCACCAGGTTCTCCTTAGAGGTGTCATCTATGCAGTCTGATAAAAGTTTTTATATATTGTTTCTTTTAGGAATTCTTCAAAGAAAATATTACATGGGTCATGCTTATTGTATCACAAATATGCAAATGTGTAAAAGAAAAATTAATAAAAAAAAGAAAATTGATCAATATTTACCTTAAGGGGAGTCAGCTCGGTTAAGTGTACTGAAAATTACTAAAGAAATGTAATATTTCTTCAAGACGATTTCCTTATCCGATAGTGAATGCGCGCTAGCTGTGCTTTTTCTTCATTCTCAGGCACTATAGAGACAAGAGTACCTAGAAAATTGGTAGGCACCTGGATCTTCAGGATGGTATAATCTGGTATGTCATGTTTTTCATTTTTTTGGGAGATCGTATATGTATTGTCTTCCATGGGTCATGCAAATTTTGTATAACAAATGTAACCGTATTTACTTTCATAAGAGGCAGTTTACGCAGATGCTCCTGGAGTTGGAGCCGCAAACTGGGAGGTTGCAGTCCATGCAGAGAGTGCGTATTATTATCCTTCTTCCGTGTGCAAATGGAACACCTTTTCCACTCCTTGAGACCCTTAGGGCATGTAGGATTAGTCCTGTTCCATCCAAACACACTTCGGATGTTCTATGCCTGGTAAAGTGCTTCTTTATGAGGCCCACGGTGCAACCAGAACCATGGCAAAGTCTTGTATGAATTTTCTTATGGGGAGTATTGTATTGTTGCAAGTGTGGATAATGTGGGCGTTGATGTTGCAGCTTTAAGATGCCTCAGAAAATACATTGTGGCCACCTTTCAACCTTTCGGCTACAACTGCAGGTGCTATATATCCCATCAAATGTACCTACACATCATTTTGTTGAATTGCATTACTGTAGCACCTGAGATTTTCCATCTTCCATCAATGGCTTACGATGCTTGGTTGACAGGAGACGGACTGTCTTGTCTTTCTCAACTTCGTAAGACACTAAAGAGGAAGAGAGGATGGAAAAGGGTTGTGCCTACTGCCCTCTCCTTATGCAGCTCCGTCATTTCCTCAAGAACATACGGTTTCTTCCTTATTGTTCACACAAATACCTTGCTCCAGCAAAGCATTTGCAAGTGGCAAAATGGTAAATCAATTGTCACAGGTAATGTTGCAAGGAGACTCGGAAGAAAGGCTCGACGAGTGCAAGTTATCTTTGGCCTGTCCAGGTGGGGTTTTCATGGCATCCGGTGACTTACTTGCCTGCAACATCATCAAATGACGTAACTGGTATATAAAATGAATATAGAGATCACACTGTATGTATAATAATTGATAAATTAATAAAGTGAGCTATGTATTTTGTGTACAGAATGGAATTGAGAAGGTACTTGGAATCAGCATCAAACATCATGATATTGATTCCGTATTAGGCAGGTTTATTTGGATTATACATTCGAAAACTACATCTCCCCCTGATAGCCAACAGCTGCTCGTCGACTATCAGGTTGTTTCCTGGGATATAGTTTCCTGGACACTGACCAATGGATAAGTTCCAGATAGTTGTGACTGGTGCCAACTTGTCCTTTTTCACCCCCTCCTTCCAAGTGGTAGGGTCATCAAACCGCAAGTATAGGAAGAGCGTGGTGAACCCGTATCATTACTAAAATTACCATTATTTACTTTTATCATCATCATTATCATTAATATAGAATACGAGAATTTAGCAAATACGGTAATATATGTGACAAACCTTCTCTTACTCATTACAGTATGGTGCACAGGCGCAGCATACTGCTGGCTCTTCTGGGTGCTGACATGGTTGTCCATGCGTGCGACAAATATAATCACACCTAAAAGAGCTCTGATCTCTGCATTAATTTGGTGCAAGGTCGCATCCTTGGCAGCAAACTTATCTGCACAAGCGGTGATCTTGTTGGTGTATTCTAAAGTTTGATAAATAATATTTTGTATTAGAAATAATTCAAAACACTCCAAAACGTCTTTGCTTTCTCACTGGCAGCAGTGGGTCGTGCTATAATTTCTATAGTGCCGTTCTCTCATCCTAGGATGGTCTACCAGCCAGTTTTGGCCATTTTTTGCAACCAAATATCGCCTTCCTTTGAACTATTACTGTTATTTATCAGCATCCAAAGCCGTCAGTTTATTCTTTGATGACACAGTAGACGTGGAGACTGGTGGGATAATGATAGGCGAGGCTGCAGCATGCGAAGTGGGAGCCGATGCAGCAACAGGTGATGTTGGAAGTGAATTTACAGCAGGTGAAGTGGCAAGCGGCATTTACTCTTCTTTGGAGAGACAGGTGTTAAACAACTGCCAGATGCAGAAGTGGCAGCAGCAGGTAAAGAAGTGGCATTTGTGACAACAGTGACGAGTGGAGGTGTCGCATGAGGCATCAGGCGAGATGCTGTCTGGGTCACGTGTCCTTTTTCAGTGTAGGTGTTGACAAGTAGAGATGTGGAAATGGCTGATGTGGATTCATTTTGTGGACATCTAAATCATTCATCACGTCGAGATCATCAGTTTCCATTTCAAAAACATCATTAGCTTCTAAACATGTCATAATCTCGTATGTAGCCATGTCTGTGTATTCTGATTAGTCAAGGGTGCAAGTAATGGCGGGTTATTAGACACCAGCCACAAAGCGACATCTCAGGAAATGATGGGTAAACTTTACCCAGATATAAACTGGGTAAAGATATAAACTTTACTCTATGAAATGGCGTCACTCTCTGGCGCCGGTACTTTCAATTTTACGAAAATTCACCTTGTGCTTTGGGTCATTTTGGGCCCCAGATTACGTTTATGGTTAAGGGCACCTTGGTACCTAATTTTGACTTATCTATTTTTTATATGAATAGCTCATGGAGTGGATTAAATTTATTCCTCTTTTGAGTACGCCGAAGATACCTCGGTTATAAAAACATGTTTTCGTTTTTATTCTATAAACAAATAATAATAGGTAGCATACCACATTAGCAATAAACAATATAAGAAAAATATATTCTCTTTTACTAAATTGATAAAATATTAAGGATGACTCTCCTTGACTAATAATTATAAATAAATAATAATTACAATGAATATGATGAAAACAAGCACGAGACGGGATCGAGACAGTCACCCTACTCCCTGATATTTCTTGTTATTACACTGGACGAAAAACTGATTGATCCTTCCTTTCTAAATTTTATCATTTTCTTTTTTTAAACTTTACTCTATTCTAAATGTTCCTTTCGCAATTCATTTTTTAGCCCAATTAGAATTGTCTTCTTCGACTAATTCCGTTGCTGTATCTTTGGTTAACACAAAAAAATAATAAATATTTCCTAACAAGGCTATTAGTTATAAGCACTAAATTTTGGTCCAGAAATCTTTACAGGTATAACGAATGCATCTTTTAAATGTTGAATCAGTAACTATCTCGACATTAGTTTGATTATAAAGGTAAGAAATATTAATTTGATTTTAAAGATAAGAAATATTAGTTTGATTACAAAGGTAAGAAATATTAGTTTGGTTATAAACATAAAAAATATATATTTAAGTTAGATTATGAATTTTTGAAAGCTTATTTTCTTTCCCTTCGTTAAAACAATATAATTAACA